GTGAAGCCGTACGTGCCTGGTCCTTGCGCCTTGCTCCTTGCTTCGCAAACCACGCATTGCCTCTCTCTCTGCCCTCGCGTCTGCTCGTCCCGCCATGCCTCATGGCTTGTACAAACGCATCCCCCCGCTTAGATATTGGCGGAAGCCACGCGACTGGGAGAGTCGCGTGGACCCAACTACATTCCCCGTCACATTCTTGTCGTCTTCAACCCCATCTCAGGTGGTGGCGCTGCCAAGCGCCTCGTCTCGCACATTGTGTTGCCAGTCCTGGAGCGCACCAGAACCGACTACACCGTCCAAGCCACCGAATACAAGCGCCATGCAGTGCAGCTCATGCGCGACCTCGACCCGGAAATGTACGACGGTATTATTGTCGCCGGTGGTGACGGCCTCGTGCACGAGGTTGGTTCACCGTTCGTTGATAATCAACTCAGTCCCTGCCCCTGCTGCCTTGAAGTTTTGGTGCATACATGACCTGCATTTATGCAACGCGGCGTCCCATCCCATGGCACAACATACTGCTCCCGCTCATCTTGAACGTTGGTCCGTCACTTGTAGGTTATTACCGGCTACTTTACCCACCGCAACCAGAAAGCCATTCGCAAGGTGCCCATTGGTATCGTGCCCTCGGGCACTGCCAACGCCATGGCCACAGCTCTGCACAAGCGTGAGAGCAAGTCACAGGTGGCCCTGGTCGGCTATAGCGCCCTCGCTGTCGCCAAGGGCCTAACCACCAACGTGGACGTCATTAGCTTTGAGCGCCTAGACATGGACACGGAGGAAGAGCGTAAAGTCTTTGCCCTGTCCTGCTTTGGGTGGGGTATCGCTGGCGCGGTTGCCCTCAAGGCCGATAAACTGCGCTGGATCCCGGGCCAAAAGAAGGCTCGTTATGATATTGCCGGGGCTGTGAGCCTCCTCTCCGACTGGCCCATTGTTGATGAGTTTGACTTTAGCTACCCCGTCAGTGAGAACGAGGTTGGTCTGCAATGCTTCTCACGACCCCCGCCCGCATCAAATGCAAGACCGTCCTCTGGCAGGCCTAGCCGTTTCCAGTTTATATGTCTCATGTTTGTTTTATGGTGCCTCTCTCATCCAAACGCGGCAGTGGGCTACGGAGCGTTTGCGCACCATTAACCTCATTGCCTCCAACATGCCGTATCTCGGCTCGGACAACGCCATCTATCCGCGTAAGCATCCGTCACTTGGTTGTCGTACAAACAGCGAGTCATGCCGCCAGAAGTGTGGCTTCCCTCCTGACCCTGCCCTGCCTCATTTTCTCGCTGCAGATATTGAGCCGGATGACGGGAACCTGGCCGTGGTCACCGTCGCAGATACCTGCTCCCGCATGGAGGTCATTCGCATGTCCATGGGCATGAAGAAAGGCATCTATCTCGGCGAGCAACGCAAGCACGTCCAGACTTACATCCTTTCCGAGTTTAAAATCACACCGGTCAAAGCCAAGGCACCTTTCTTGATTGACGGTGATCCTCACGCGTACGGACCTGCGCATGTCCGTGTCCTCAAGCAAGCTCTACAACTGTTTGTGCTTCCAGCTCAAGGCATCGAAGATAACTTGTCCACCAAGGTAAAGACTGCGTTCTGACCTTACCCGTCTGTTCGTGCGTTTGTTTTGTTTGTTTGTCTGTTTGCATATATACCATCTTGGGATCTCCTTCCTCCGTCTCGCGCACGCTGACACGCCCTCATCGCACGAAAATGCTTCATGATTCTCAGGTCGGCAATGCACCAACGGCTGTGGCCATGAGTGTCGCAGGTGTTGACCCGCATCATCTCGGCCTTCGGGCCCAGAGCAGCCATAGCGGAAGCCCCACGCCAACCCCCAGTGCTAGTGCCAGCCAAACTGCCAGCCGGCTGAGCAGCGTACAAGCCAGCAACCAAAATTCGATGCAGTCCAAGCAGGGCGAAAGCGCTCTCAGTCAGCTCATGCGCCAAGAAGCTGCCAAGTAGGATGTCCGATGAGAGGCGGTGCGCGCCTGTCACGTACATTTAGTCTATAACCCCCACGCAACCTTGTGTACCAATAATATCATGTCTACAAACCAGTTCAGGTCGTGGGTGCTGGATTGTCAAGCAACAAGATGTGTGCGTGCGCACGCTTGTTTATTTTCCCGAGTGCATGTCCCTCCAGAATACGACGGGCTCTCGTCCATTTGATGCCTTTCCCAGTTCTCGTGTGTTTCGGACGGACCGGTCAATTGATAACTCTACAAACTGAACCGTCCTCTACAATTTCTAATCTGGAGCACCCATCCATACAACAACAAGCATTGATGATGTAGATGTGACACAGAAAATACCCTTCTTGGTTTTTTTTTTTTTTTTTTTTTTTTTTTTTTGTTTTTTTTCATTCAAATCGTATTGACACACACACACACACACACACACACACACACACACACACACACACACACACACACACACACACACACACACACACACACACAAACACACACACACACACAAACACACACACACACAC